CTCTCACCCAAACACACATTTTCTCCCCTTTTGTTCCATCGGCTGCCAATTTATCATCTCAGTGATTGGATCAGATTCCTGGGGATCAAGTCACTTGTTGCAAAAAATAACTCTTTGCTGTTTATTCCGATCAGCAGCTGTGTTCTCCAAGCAGGTGTCAGGAGGTAATTGAATCACCGGCTTGAGAAAACTGCCATTTAATTAACAATGAAGGTCATAGTTCTAAATGAGAGTGAGAGGGAAAAGGAGGGAGAAGGAAGGCCCCAGGAGTCGTGGTGATTATAAAAGAGGATTGAACCGATCAGCAGTTGCAAGGAGGTTGGGCTGACAATGAGGTCCAACGGCCCCAGAAGAGTTTGGAGGGGGACAAAGAGTTTGGAGGGAGGAGGGATGGAAGAAAGGAAGAAAAGAGGTAGATGAGGGAGAGAGGGAGGGAGGGAAGGAGAGAGAGAGAGAAAGAGAAAAAAAGAAAGAAAGAAAGAAAGAAAGAAAGAAAGAAAGAAAGAAAGAAAGAAAGAAAGAAAGAAAGAAAGAAAGAAAGAAAGGGGGAAGGAAGGAAGGACGAAAGAAAAGAGAAAGAAAGAAAGAAAGAAAGAAAGAAAGAAAGAAAGAAAGAAAGAAAGAAAGAAAGAGGGAGGGAGGGAGGGAGGGAGGGAGGAAGGAAGGAAGGAAGGAAGGAAGGAAGGAAGGAAGGAAGGCTTCATCTATTAACTGTTGACTGTTGACATCAAATGACTGTTGACATCAAAAGGAGAAGACAAATTTCCAAAGGCACAAAAAAAAGACCTTTTGAAAAATCACCCATTCTCCATCTCAAAGCAGAAGGCCACAAACCATCTTCTCACTGCCCTGCAGGAGAGACCCCTGAAAATTATAACCCAGCTCAAAGGTGGTCGAAAGGGGAAACTGTGAAGTACGTGACTGAAGCGTAACCGGGATCACTCTGTTTGTCGTGAAACTTAAGTATAAATGAGGCCAAATTTTTAAAAAAATAAATCAATCCTGGCCTTGGGAAAAGTAGCACGCCTGGATCCCGGGATTAAAAATGCATTTCAGGAAATGGCCGTTGCAAGGATTAGCACGTTTATCTCCAAGCTTCCCTCGGCCCCCAAACAGACTGTGGCTGTTTCATTACAGGGACAAAATCAATCCCTTTCCTTGTAAATAAAGATAAGGGTTGTTTTCTTAAATGAGGCTAGTTAGCTGGAACCCATGGAGAGTCAATTCTGGTTGAGATAGCAGAAGTCTCCCATCAATTGTTTCCATGGACACAACAGGCTAGACAGAATATCTCAGAATCCTGTGGTCAGTAAAGTTGATTGACCAGGGACGGTTTAGGTCTTTCTGAGCAGATAGAAACCAGTGTTGGCTAGATAAGAGTTGCTGCTGGGGGGGGGGGGTTAACTGAGTAATGGTAGGTCTAGAAGTCTCTCTTGATTAGATGCAGCCCATGTCTCAGTAAAAGTTGGGCGAAAAAAATCTAGTGAAAAGAAGGATTAGAGGTGATATAATAGCAGGGTTCCAATATTTGAGGGGCTGCCACAAAGAAGAAGGGGTCAACCTATCCTGCAAAGTGCCTGAAGGCAGGAGAAGAAGAAGCAACGGATGGAAACTAATCAAGGAGAGAAGCAATCTGGAACTAAGGAGGAATTTCCTAACAGTGAGAACAATTAACCAGGTTTTCTTTCAGAAGGCCTTTAAGAAGACACTGGACAGCCACTTGTCTGGACTGGTACAGGGTCTCCTGCTTGAGCAGGGGGCTGGACTAGAAGATCTCCAAGGTCCCTTCCAACTCTTGTGTTATTCTATTATTCTGATGTTCACCAGCCCCAGGACTTTGACCCTCCCACAATTTTGCATCCCTGTCTTAAGTCATTCCTTACGGGAATAAGTGGGTCTGCATGTTTACAGGGGCGCCGCAAAGTGAAGCGATGCGGCAGGAAAACATGGTCCACTCTGGACCTGCACATTAGGGTGTTGCGCTAAGCCGCAGTGTGGTTTGTTTACCAGAGAGCCAGTCTTGCACGAGAGCTTAGTATGATGTAGCGACCGACGTGGTGTATTTGCTTCATGTTTTTATAAGCGAGTGCGAGGAAGCAGTCTACCTAAACAGTTGTGCTCCATGAATGCAGCATTTTCAGGGAGGACAAAGTAGAATCGTAGGACCAGGACCAGGAAAGGCAGTTTAGAACGTGCATGAAATTTGCTACGGGTACGGTAGTTCTCGACTTACAACTACCATGGGGATCAGAATTTCCCTTGGGTGGTGTCTTTTTTTTTTTAAAAAAATAAAATTTATTGTTTTATCCTAGAGAACAAAATACAGAACAGTAAAACAAACAACAAAAGGAAACAAAACAAAAACATACGTTCAACCCTAATGACAACGACAACAACAACAACAAAAATAGTGTACAAAAGAGGAGGAAAAAGTGGTCAATTAAATTTAACATTTTACATGTAGGATCCACTGGCTGAGTGCCGAAAGAGAAGGAAAAAAAGCAATAAATTCTCCTGCCCTTTTACAGATAGATAGATAGATAGATAGATAGATAGACAGACAGACAGACAGACAGACAGACAGACAGACAGACAGACAGACAGACAGACAGACAGACAGACAGACAGACAGACAGACTAACGATAGATAGACTGATGATAGATAGATAGATAGATAGATAGATAAAGAGAGAGAGAGATAGGTAGGTAAGTAGGGAGAGAGGGAGAGAGAGAGAGAGATGGATGGACAGAGAGAGAGAGAGAGAGAGAGAGAGAGAGAGAGAGGATAGATAGACAGACAGACAGACAGACAGACAGACAGAGATGATAGACTAATGATAGACTGATGATAGTTAAATAAATAGAGAGAGAAATAGGTAGGTAGGTAGGTAGGTAGATAGATAGATAGATAGATAGATAGATAGATAGATAGATAGATAGATAGATAGATAGATAGATAGATAGGTAGATAGGTAGATAGGTAGACGGACAGATAGAAAAGAAAAAAGAAGAAAAAACAGTCAAGACGTTGAGCTAAACATTACACTAATCTTCAAATCCCTCTGTTAACCATCTTTTATTATATTTAGCACATAGAAAGTCCACAAAGATAGATAGATAGATAGATAGATAGATAGATAGATAGATAGACAGACAGACAGACAGACAGACAGACAGACAGACAGACAGACAGACAGACAGACAGACAGAGATGATAGACTAATGATAGATAGACTGATGATAGATAAATAGATAGATAGAGATAGATAGATAGATAGATAGAGAGAGAGAGAGAGAGAGAGAGAAATAGGTAAGTAGGTAGGTAGGTAGGTAGGTAGGTAGGTAGGGAGAGAGAGAGAGAGAGGGAGGAGATAGATAGATAGATAGATAGATAGATAGATAGATAGATAGATAGATAGATAGATAGATAGATAGATAGATAGATAGATAGATAGATAGATAGATAGACAGACAGACAGATAGACAGACAGATAGAAAAGAAAAAAGAAGAAAAAACAGTCAAGACGTTGAGCTAAACATTACACTAATCTTCAAATCCCTCTGTTAACCATCTTTTATTATATTTAGCACATAGAAAGTCCACAAACGGTTTCCAGTCTCTTATAAAGCTGTCTAGTCCCTCACCTCTAATCAAAGCAGCTTATTTCGCCATCTCTGCTAATTCAGCCAATTTCAAAATCCCTTCTTCAACCGTCAGCCTCTCTTTTTCTTTCCAGTGTTTGGCAAGTACAATCCTCACAGCCGTCACCCTGGGAAGGAATAGCACCCCAAATTGTTTTTCAATTGACTTGTCCATCATACCTAAAATAAAAGCTGCAGGTTTCATTAATATTTGTATCTTAAATATTTTTTTTTTTTTGCATTGTCAGTGTTTGTCCGAGATGCTTTCACATATTTGCAGAATTTCCGTTGCTAAGCAATGGTTCTTAAGAGAGTCGCGCCCGGTTTTGTAACCCTTTCCCCCACAGTTGTTAAGCAAACCACAGCATTTGTTAAGTGACACATGAGGTGGCTTCCCCCGTTGCTTATAGGACGTCGGCTAGGAAGGCCACAAATGACCCTGGGATGCTGCAACTGTTGTAAACACATATTGGTTGCCAAGAAGCCGAATTGTGATCACATGACCGTGAAGGATGCTGTGACGGTTTTAAGTGCAAGGACCGGTAATAAGTCACTTTTTTTCAGTGCCGTTGTGATTTTGAATAGTTGCTAAATGAGTGGTTTTAAGTCAAGAACTACCTCTAGCAGATACCAAAGGAAGGGAAGTTCCCAAATAAAGGGGGCACCCTAATGTCCCAAAGGTGCTTTTTCAGGAGGCAACTGGACTTCCTTTGTTTTTCTTTGAAGACGTTTTGCTTCTCATCCAAGAAGCTTCTTCAGCTCTGACTGGATGGTGGGGAATAATGGAAGGATTTATATCTCTTGCAGACAGCTGGTCATTTGCATTCTTTCAGAGAGCCGTTGAGGCCACTTGGAGGTTTATCTGTGTCTTCAAGGTCCCCTGAGTAGTGCAAATGGGTGTGGAGCCTTCTTGGAACTGCTTTCAGCACACCCATTTGCACTACTCAGGGGACCTTGAAGACACAGATAAACCTCCAAGTGGCCTCAACGGCTCTTTGAAAGAATGCAAATGACCAGCTGTCTGCAAGGAATATAAATCCTTCCATTATTCCCCACCATCCAGTCAGAGCTGAAGAAGCTTCCTGGATGAGAAGCGAAACATCTTCAAAGAAAAACAAGAAAGTCCAGTTGCCTTCTGGAAAAGCATCTTTGCGACAACCATGACCTGGATGACTGCAAATCTCCGTAGACACTTAGCGGGCCCCCCTAATCTTCAACCTTGTTCCTCTGCGTTGCAACTGCCTTTTCCCATAAGATTCATTTGCAGGACTCCTCAGCTCGAACCGACGCGCCAATGATGGGTACAATCTGCCCCACTCTCTCTGTTTCTGCCTCTGCTTCTCTTCTCCCTCTGCTAGGGTGCATCCTCCAGCTTAGTTGTGAAGTTTGCCGACACAGACAAGGAACGAACTCTGCGGCGGATGCATCAGATGGCAGGACAGCTGGGCATCTTTAATCCCATGACGATCCAGTTTGGAGCCTATGGAGCATACACACAAGCGGTAGGAGATGCTGGCCACCCTGACTGTAGGGCACCATTATTTCTCCTAAAAGTGAAGCAGGAACATTTGGACAAGCCAGAAGATGCTAGTTGGGTGAGGAATGAGCCAAGGCTTTCTGGTTCTCCATTCTTTCTCCTTGACCTGACGAGAGGGACTGTTGGAGCTAGATGATTTGGGCTAAGTCTCGAAAAGTTAAGCAGGACAGATCTGGAGAGTTGTTGTATGGGAGATTTCCCCCAAACCCACCAGCTCAGCTGGAAGGAGACCTTTTTTTTATCATCAGAGATGCCACACATCCTTGCTGGGAAGGACAGTGACGAGCACTGCCCTCCACTGGCCAATGCAAGCTGCTGCTTTGCTAACTGGAAGGAGACAAACACCGATGGTCTTCTGCTGGAGATAGAACAAGCATCTATGCTTTGAATCATAAAAAGGCCAGAAAAGTTGGTTCAAATCTCACCTTAGCTGTGATGGTTTTAGAAGGAACTAGACCACAAGATGGGAAGATTAGGTAACCTTCATTTGTTCTCCATTCCAATTCCCATCAGTCCTAGACAGCATGGCTAGAAAACAGAGGTGCCAGACGTTCTGGAATATCTGGAGCAAGTCTGGTTCTCCAGCCTGCCCTTAGCACCAATCGCTGGTTAGGATGGACTTTCTTACATGGCTCATTGTGAGGGTTGATGAAAGAAGTCATCTCATAGGTGCTTTTCAAAAGGCGACTAGACTTCCTTAGATTTTTCCTTGAAGACAACTCACTTCTCATCCAAGAAGCTTCTTCAGTTGCTTCAGAACTGAAAAAAGTTTGTTGGATAAGAAGTGACACATCTTCAGGGCAAAAAACTAAGGGTCAACCTAGCCTTTTGGGACAACCATGACCTGGATGATTGAGAATCTCTATAGACATTGAAGAAAGAGACTATGTCAAGGCTGTTGGCCATCTGAAAGCATCATTTTGATGTCCCTATGAAGTTAGTCTTCATAGGACTAGAACTTCCTCAAGAAGGCCAACAGGCCAGCCTCCATTTCCTTAGAAGTTGTTCCTGACTAGAAAAAGAAGACCAATCTTCATCAGTGAAGTCCATACTAACGTTGTCCTTCTTCCCCTCTTCCTCTTCTCCTGTCCTCCACTTTCTTTCCCTGGCTGTTCTCCTTCCCTCCTTCTCTCCCCCTGTGTGTCTTCTTTCCTTAAGATAATGCAGCAGCAGGCAGCGCTCATGGCTGCTGCACAAGGAAGTTGCCTCAACCCCATGGCAGCCATCGCAGCAGCACAGATGCAGCAGATGGCTGCCTTCAACGTGAGCGGCTTGGTGGCGGCTTCCATGACACCCTCATCAGGTACGGACGTTCCTTACATGGTCTTCTTGGGGTAGCCAGGAGGAAAAGCCAGATGGAAGTCCAATAAGCCTCAGAGCTTCCTCCACGGTAGTTCCCTGCCTCAGCATCTTCCCATTAGGGAAGATGGCTGCTCAAGGTGGATTTCTCGGACCATTCAGCCTCTGACGAAGCTCTCTTTGTTTTATTTTAAACAAAGAAATAGCCCTGGCATTGTTCCTAGAAAAGGAAGAACTCAGTGTTGATGTAAAGACATTGCCCCTAACCAATTTCAGTACCCTAGCACATGTGTGCTGGTTTCATAGACAGCAAGTCCTGCTGTAGGATTTGACCTCTGGATTGATAGCAATAGCACTAGCAGTAGTAATATGCTGCTCCACAGTGCTTTACAACCCTCTCTGAGTGGTTTACAATGTCAGCATCTTGAGGACAACAATCTGGGTCCTCATTTGACTGATCTCAGAAGGATGGAAGGCTGAATTAATCTTGAGCCAGTCAGGATTGAACTCCAGACTGTGGGCAGAGTTAGCCTGCAATGCTGTATTCTAACCACTGCACAGCCATGGCTCCCCCATCTTCCAAAATCCATGTGACCCTCAACCTAAAGCTGGTCCTTAAAAACATCTCCAGGCCTTTTGGGGCCCTATTGGGGTTCTGTTAATTAGGACACTGTTATCCAGATGTTTTATATTCTTTCTGGATTGCTTTTGTTTTGCTTTGTTTTATGCCCCTGTTTCTCAAGCTCGGCGATTCTAAGACGTATGGATTTCAGCTCCTAGAAGTTGCCAGCCAGCAAAGCTGGAAGTTGAAGCCCACACTTCTAGGAGTTGCCAAGGCTGAGAAACATGGTTTTAAACTATAAGCCACCTAGAGTCACTTTGAAGTTGAGTGGTCTCCAAAAGTAATGAAGCCAACAAACTTCCGCCATACAAAGAACGGTTGCAGGAACTGGGTATGTCTAGTTTAATGAAGAGAAGGACGAGGGGTGATATAATAGCAATGTTCCAGTATTTGAGGGGCTCCCCCAGAGAAGATGGAGTCAAGATATTCTCCAAAGCAGCTGAAGTCAGGACAAGAAGCAGCAGATGGAAACTAACTAAAGAGAGAAGCAACCTAGAACTAAGGAGGAATTTCCCGTAGTGAGAACAATTAATCGGTGGAACAACTTTGCCTCCAGAAATTATGGTTTTTAAGAAGAGATTGGACAACAATTTATCTGAAATGGTTTCCTGCTTGATCAGGGGTTTGGACTAGAAGATCTTCCAATTTGGTTATTCATTCCACAAGATTTCCCCAGATCCAGCGGGAAGCAAACCATATTAGCCATCTTCATGCTTCCTTCCCCTTTCTGGCTCAGTCTTAATTTCGCTGCCTGCCTTCTCTCTTCAGGTACAAGCACACCTCCAGGGATCAGCGCAGCTCCAGTCCCCAGCATAGCTACACCCATTGGGGTCAATGGGTTTAGCCCTCTCCCACCACAGACTAACGGACAGCCAGCATCGGAAACCATTTACACCAATGGGATCCATCCGTACCCAGGTAAGAATTGGGACACAGGAAGGGTCTTCAGTGGAGACGGTGCTGAGCGTAGCCATCTGTGCTAAAGCAGAGGAGAAATACCCCTGCGACTCTTTTCATTCCCACCCCGGATCTCAGCCCCATACGGCCACTGAGCCCCCACCCTGCCTTGTGATATTTTCATTACAGGGACTATCACTTGTCCTCCTTTAGGATAGAAAACGTGGCTTGTGGTTTGCTGTTTGTGACCTTTCCAGACCCTTTCCAACAAGCCAGTTCAATAGGGGAAGCTGGATCCCTTTAACCACCCTGTGCGTCACTTCATGTCCATGAAGATTTGCTTAAGGACCATGGAAAAAAAAGAAAAAGATAATAAAATTGGCACGGCTTACTTAACAAGCACCTCACTTAGTGATGGAAGTTCTGATCCCAATTGCAGTTGTAAGGGGAGGACTTTTAGCAACTGCCCATGGGAGAGTGACGTGATGCATTAGCCGGGGGGGGGGGGTTCGTGGTTGCTGGGAGGCTTGCGATAACGAATAAGGCTCTGTAAAGGTGGCCTGGGAAGAAGACACGGATAACGTCATGAGCACAGAGAGTTAAAGTAAGAACGAGGAAGTCATTCTTGCACAAAAGAAATAACTACGGAGCGGTGTTTCTCAAAGCTGGCCACTTTAAGATCTGTGGACTTCAACTCCCAGAATCCCCCAGCCAGCAGAATTCTGGGAATTGAAATCCACAGGTCTTAAAGGGACCCAGTTTGAGAAACACAGCTAGAGAGGGAAGCTTATAAGCTGGTCATTTTGTACCATCCATAAAGGGTGGCAATTCACAGTTTGCAGGGAGTGGAATCTGAAACCAAGTATTAGGTACAGCCTCAAATTCCAGTTCCTGCAAACTACTAACAGCTCACTCCAAGTTTCCAGCATCCCCAAAATGCAGTTCAGAGCTTGCAAAGGTAAGGTTTAAGATGGCGGTACTGGTGCCTCCCTGAATTAAATTTTGGCTGAATGCATTGGTTGAACTGCTGGTACTGTGGATTGTAAACCTCCCCAACAGGACACTGGGGTTGTTCCAGTTATGCAGGCAAGATCAATCCTGATCTTCTTGGTAATGATCTCCACTGTTCCTCCAGATGTTGCTAAGAGCCATCTCCCACTTGCGTGAACTGGGAAACCCAGAGGGGAAAGGAGGATGGGAACTGGCACGCCACCACATCTGGGATGGCCACAGGTTGCTCTACCAGGGTTTGCAAGTCAAAGAGGAGGATCAGGTCCCCTCCTGGTATAACTTTGACCCCTGGTCACGTTGCTCTGACAGCTGTTCTCCAGTGAACTCTGCTTATTCTCGACCTTCTTCCTTCTTTTCTCTTCCCAGCTCAAAGTCCCACCGTGGCAGACCCTCTGCAACAAGCCTACGCAGGCATGCAGCACTATGCAGGTGTCAACATTGCTTTGGCCCTCTTTCCCCCCCCCTCCTCCCCCTCCTCCCTGGGTCTTGTCCTTTCCTGGTTTCTGTCCCTTGGCAACTTTTGTGATGCAAAGTGGGAGGGGTGTGTGTGAGAGAGGCAACCGGCCTCGCTTGTTTGGCAGAGCAGGATGAGGTTAGGGATGAGTGTGTGGCTAGTACCTTGGCTTATCAACTGCACCTGAATAAGAAAGCTCTCCCACAGGTAGGGATTAAAGCGGGAAGTGATGATGGATCTCGTGCCACAAAGGAACTTCAGGGTTGGGCTTCCAAGAAATTATCACTCGAGGTTTTTAAGAAGAGACTGGACAGCCACCTGTCTGAAATGAGCTTGAGCAGGGGACTGGACTAGGAGACCTTCAAGGTCCCTTCCAGCTCTACCCTGATTCTGATTCAATAAAGGGGGATATTTGTAGCTTGGTGCTCCTTGAGCTTGGTTGCCATCTTGCAGATGTTTCATTACCCAAACATCATCAGTGCTAGGAATGAAGTTTTTGGTGAAGCAACATGCTAGCAGCGTTCCAGTATCTGAGGGGCTGCCACAAGGCAGAGGGGGCCAAGTTGTTCACCAAATCACCAGAGGGAAGGACGAGAAACAATGGTTGGAAACTGACCAAAGAGAGAAGCAATCTGGAATTAAGGAGAAACTTCCTGACCGTGAGGACAATCAACCAGTGGAACAGCTTTGCCTCCAGAAATCATGGGCGCTCCATCACTGGAGATTTTTAAGAGGAGACTGGACAATCACCTGTCTGAGATGGTGTAGGTTCTCCTGCTTGAGCAAGGGGCTGGACTAGAAGACCTCCAAAGGTCCCTTCCAGCTCTATTCTATTCTATTCTATTCTATTCTATTCTATTCTATTCTACTCTATTCTATTCTACTCTACTCTACTCTACTCTACTCTACTCTACTCTACTCTACTCTACTCTACTCTACTCTACTCTACTCTATATTCTATTCTATTCTATTCTATTCTATTCTATTCTATTCTATTCTATTCTATTCTAAAGAGGGACTGGATTTACTTTCTTAATTAGACGAGATATCCAAGAGTCTTCCATGTGTTGTGAAAGGACATTGCGTGTTTCCAGTCTGTGGCTGTTTCTTAAGAGGCGCCTTTCTCTTTTTTTTTTTCAAGTATAAAATTTTTATTATTTTCATCATAAAAAAACATCACAAATATTACACAATGCTATATGAGAAACCCCCCACCCCCCACCCCCCCGGACTTCCCAAACCTAATCCCAGGATAATATTCAGATATAAGTAAACAAATATTAATATCTCTAACTCCACAAAATGTATTATTCTACATGGATAGGTAAAATATATTAAAAAGAAAAAAAAAGAAAAACAAATTTACTAAAAACCTAGATTATATTCCACCACTCTATGCTTCTTTTGAATATAAACAATCCATCTTCTCCATATTAATAAAAATTGTTCGTTTGAATGATTCTTCAAGTAAATGAGGCGCCTTTCTCTGTTCCTCCCTGGAATGACCCAGTGGCTGTACAGTTTGGCAAGTCCCTGGAACCGCCTTAGTGATCCAGCTAATTGTTCTCTGCATTTTTCCCTGCTCAGCTGGATGGGCTGTTGTGGGATGGTGGACTGAGAAGAAGAGGAAGGGCTGGAGATCAGAGGGAGGCTCTCTACTTCTCAGCCCCTAGAAGACAAGGCTTCCTTGTGGTTTTCCACCATCTTCTTTCTCGGAGGAGGTTGGACTTTGACACCCATCATCCCCAGCCAGCAGGACCAGTGGAAGTGTGACTCGTACTCCAAAGCACCAGGAGGGCAATAGTTTGGGTTTTACTAATCTTACCCAATAGGGTCAGTTTATATAGAATTCACCGTAGTGCAAGTTCTCTCCAGATCAACCAAGCTAGACAGTGGAATCTTCTGGCTTAGAGTTATTTGTATTTGATGTTGCACAGGGCTATGTGTGGGGTGGGTGGGTAGGCAGTGTGTGTGTGTGTGTGTGTGTGTGTGTGTGTGTGTGTGTGTGAGAGAGAGAGAGAGAGAGAGAGAGAGAGAGAGAGAGAGATGCATGCATGCATGTATGCATGCATTTTCAGAATTGAGTAGGGTCAGGTATGTGATAGAACATGACTACACTCACTTGGGGGACCATAGCCATGGGTTTGGTGTGACCCTTTCTCCCGTGAAAGCAGAGTGTTATGCTTGCTTGGGCCTGATCCTTCTGTTTTTGTGTTCTAGCAGCATATCCAGCCGCCTATGCACCAATCAGCCAAGCCTTCCCACAGCAAACTCCCATCATCCCCCAGCAACAGAGAGAAGGTGAGTAAGAATGCAAAGGCTGGGTCTTGGGGAGGAGAGGGGGAACCCCATTCCACAAGGCCCATAAGGTCTTCTTCTGAGCAACTTCCTTTTTGGGGGGGAGGGGGGCAAGATCAAGGTGGCTTTGTACAAACGTGAAAGAGATCTGTCTAAAAGTCTCAGTAAAACAATAGTAAGCATACAAGGGAAGAGTAAAAAAAGAATCTAAATGTTATAGAAGTTAGTCTGCCTCTCAGGAGAGCATGCAGTGTTGAAAACATTGTAGATGATGCCATATGACTGTTGGCCACTTTAGCTAAGGATTTGGTGAATTGAAAACCAATACATTTGGAAGGCATCTGAGTGGGGAAGATTTATTTAACAAATCAATGGTGGGGATTAATTACTTTTTAAGCTCATTGACAAAACACAACGCATCAAGGATTCAAATGCAACGGCGTACAAAAAAGTTGTTCAGTACTCAGTAGTTGACAGTTGTCTATACTTGGTCTCTTTTGCTCTTACGCAACTTCTGTTTGGTGTACCCTACGTTCCCATCCTAGGTCCTGAAGGCTGTAACCTCTTCATTTATCACCTGCCCCAAGAGTTTGGCGATGCAGAACTCATGCAGATGTTCCTTCCTTTTGGCAGCGTCATCTCTGCCAAAGTCTTTGTTGATCGTGCCACCAACCAAAGTAAATGCTTTGGTAAGTTCCAACAGACTTACTTCAACGTTCCCTTAATCAGTTGGTTTTGCGTTCAACTAGGAATGCTTTGAGACAAGTGAGGCCAAAAGGAGAAATGTCAGCAAAGGACATGCAGTGGTCAAAATGCGGATTAAAGTTGAATAGTCACAAGACCCAAGAAATAGTCCAGTAGAATTTACAGGCCAAGTTAGAAATTGGGGAAAGAAGCAGACGAACAGACTGAGACTTTGACCTAAGCTCAAGGCATCCAGACTTGAGTCTAGAACTGAGATCAGACATAAGTTACTCTCTGAATTAATTTCCTAAATAAATAGACTGGTAATCTCGGCACCATAATTTCATCCAATCTCTGGCATTTTCATCCTGAAATCTTGTAAGGTTCCATGTGAAAAGACCAATATCTCATGAGATTTGGCCAACTTCTGAGATTTCAGCCATTAAAAATTTCAGCCAGCAAAGATGTGTGAAAGTAATTAATTTTGGAATTCCCTAGAAGGCATCTGGGGCATGAGGCTGATTCCTAGGACTGCTACACTACACAACTTCCAGGCTAGTATTTTGCTAGAATTTTTATTTTCTTTATTGATTTCTTTAAACAATACCAAATTTCCAGTACCAGTGCTGAGAGTATCCTCTTCTGAGCACATAGTTGAACTCTGGTGGACCTTTTATCCAACCAGGTGCTAACCAATTGAGAAGATTAATATCCACCTCCTTGGAGTTAGATAAAGGTCCGTGGAATTCAAGGTCGGTTAGACTTAGTCCACTTGTCACTATGTAGAGATTCAAGGCTGATCCCCCTTTTAACTCCACCTCCAAGTTCTGCCATTCCTTCTCCTATGTCGTTCAATTTATGGAATAAAAAGCCAAGGAATGTACCTTCTTTCAATTGTCTCTTCTAACCCTTCACCAACCCCATCACCCCATCACTCACTTCTTTGGTTGGCGGCTCTCTTCCCAGGTTTCGTCAGTTTTGACAATCCAACTAGTGCCCAGGCAGCCATTCAAGCCATGAACGGCTTCCAGATCGGCATGAAAAGGCTAAAGGTCCAATTAAAGAGGCCAAAAGATGCAAATCGACCCTACTGATCCCTGTTCACCCCGGCTCGGAAAACAGGTAAGGCATTGGCAGGCGATGCTTCCGCCAGGTAACCAAGCTCAGGAAGACGATGGCAGAAATCTGCCTTTCCTTCCCAGATAACAAGGAGGCAGAATGACCATCTTCTTAATTATGGGTGTCCATAGCGACTGGCAATAATGAAAGCCAGGCCATCCTGATGCAATGACTTGACTTACGTACCTGGGTCAAGGTGCATTGGATACATGCACGTAAGAGTGGCAAGCTGAGGTCACCAAGGGCAAGTCATTTGGGGCATCATTGCAATTTGCTACGGGGGCCTCTGTTCCCACTATCCTTTGGGGAAGTGAAGGCCTGATTGGAGACTTTGCCCCAAAGAGAAACTAGCAGAGTGGAGAACCATGAAACGGGTGGTCCAGTTTAAGGTGGAGGAACTCAAGGAGTTTGGCGGTTTGAGCCAAACTATATCATGGCGGGAAATATCTCACAGGGTACTTTATAAACGAAGTTCACTTAATTTGCTCTTTGGTGAGTTACATAGAAAGAGGAATCCTTTCTAAGCGGGAATTTGTGAGTGTGTGTTTGTAAAAGAGAGGAAGAGAGGATCTGGTGCAAGTGCCTGTAGAAAGATCGAAGTCCAAGAAGAACTTTCTGGGTGAGATCAAAGGTCTATCGTACTCCACTTTCTGTTGACCTAGCAAATGCCACTGGGAAATCCTCCAGGAAGAAATGAGTAAGAAAATATCCTTCTACTATTGATACTCAAGCTCATAACTCTCTCTGATACAGTTGGGAATACAATGCCATCATGATTAGTGGTCATCAATATCCTTCTCCTCCATGAATCTCTTCAATGCTTTGAAAATTCATCCAAGTCAATTGCCATCACCAATTTTATGGGACTAAATTCCATCATTTGATGACCTGTTGGGTAACAAAGTACTCCCTTTTCTCTTACCGTTCAGTTTCATTCAGCTCCTCTGGGTTCGTCTCATATATGAGACAGCCCCAGGCCTCCAATATGTTCTGGGAGACAAAACTGATTCTTACTCTAGCATAATTCCTGAACATGCTTAACACAGTAGGGCAGTGTTTCTCAACCTTGGCAAGTTTAAGACACGTGGACTTCAACTCCCAGAATTCCCCAGCCAGTCTAGAATTCTGGGAGTTGAAGTCCACGTGTCTTAAACCTGCCAAGGTTGAGAAACACTGCAGTATGGTAAAGAAGAAAGTGATTGCTTTGTTAGTCCAGTTATCACTTCTAAAAAGTTAGACACTTATTGGGAGAAATGTTTTGGAATAATTTACTGAGGAAAAATATAATGATGTATTTTAATGAGTATATGTGAGGGATCAGCTTAATATAGATGTCCAATTAAGGGGCAGCACTAGAAGAACTTACCCTCAAATTGAGCAAAATTTAGACTTGGTTACTTGGGTGAGAAATTCCAGAACTGGATGGGAATGTTAAGGACACCATCCTCGAAAGAGGGTGGTGAGGAATATTTCCATACTGTTGCCAAGAACCTAATGGAATACAGGTCATCATCAGGAGAAGCTCAGTTTGAGGGAACATTTACTTCTACTTTTAACATGCCCACAGACGTGCAAACACATAATATATGGGCACCGGGATACAGATACACCTTTTGTGCATTGACAACCTCACTTCCTTCAACTACTCCATTGCTCTGCTTCTTTCCCAAGTGTCCCTTTTCTTGAACCCCACTTAGTGAATTACCGGGTCAAATGAAAGGAGGAGAAAAGAGAGTTCCTCTCGATTCGTATAGTTGGAATCTGATACGGATGCACTGATTGTAGATCTGTCAAAAAGAAGCCCAGCCTTTAAAGTCTTGTCGTTACAGCTCCTTTTTTTATGACCTGGCAATGTCTTAATTTGGGGTAGAGTCTGGGCAACTGGATAGAGCTGAGCATTTACTAGCCGGATGCCCTTCCTGACGTCTCTGCGGAGTTCGCAGCAGATATTTGTCCTTTGCGCCCTAGGAGATAAACATCTGCCTCTACCTAGGATTGAATTCTCAACCTTCTGAGGGAGAAGCGAGCATCTTCATCGCTAGGCCACCACGCTGCTCATTGTCTTGTCACTGTAACAACCTCTTAAATTTATGAAGGGCCACTGGGTGGAGACTTCATAGAAAGGGGCTTGTGCCCTGTCTCCCCACCTCCCACCTCTCCAAATCTACTTTAATCTACTATAATCTACTCCAGGATTGGAAGGAACTTGGTTTGATGAAGTGCAAAGGCTTTTAAATCAGGTGGGATAGATGTAGAAAATGATTGCTTGCCGATTCAGGTTATGATCTAGGGCAGGGGTCCCCAATCCCCGGTCCATGGACCGGCACCGGGCCACAGCATGCCAGCAACCGGGCCGCACAAACAAGCAAAGCTCCATCCACGGGATGCAGGCAGCACATAAAATCACACACTCTCCGGAAAAACTCTCTCCACGGAACCGGTTCCTGGTGTCCAAAAGGTTGGGGACCTCTGATCTAGGGAGATGATGGAAGGGAAGGAAAATCTCCCTTGCTTGTAACATCCTCAGAGTCCAACAGATACTACTTCCAACTCAGGGAATCTGGGGGTTCAAAAAAGATATATGGGTTCAGGCAGCCAACACTGCGAACTTGAGCAACGAAGGGATAGATGCGTAGCTCAAGGGTTGAACTCTGGAGTTCCTGGTGCGCTCCAAGCTTGAATGTTTGCTCACAAGCAAACAACTCAGCCCAGAGAGCAACAAAATCCCCAGAGAAATCTTTTTTTTTTCCTTTGAGTGACTTGCAAGCAGATTCATGAGTTTGCTTCCAATCCTACTTTCGCCAGACGAACTTGGGTAGAGTTGACAGAGAGGGAGTCTTCTCAGCTCGGCATTCATTTTTGTCGTTTGGAAAATTTTGAATGCCAATATGTACCAAACAATAGTTTGAAAATGTAGAGAGCAACTCTGTTCTCGGTTATTCTTGGATAGGATGAGCCATTGGTTGCCAATAAGCTCATGCAAGAAAGCCATTACAAAGCATGGTAAAAGGGGAGAGGTGTAACCAACCCCTTACTTGTGGGGTCTTTGATGCTCTCTGAGCTTGGTGGGGGTTTTTTCAGACAGTTCATTACCCATCTGTGCACTGATGATGTTACCTAGTTGGGTAATGAAATGTCTGAAAAAACCCACCAAACTCAGAGAGCACCAAGCACCCCCCCTCCTCCTCCTCCTTCTCCTCCTCCTCCTCCTCCCTCATTCCCTTCTAGTACTGATGATGTTACCTAGTTGGGGAATGAAATGTCTGAAAGAAAACCACCAAGCTCGGTGCACCAAGGACCCCATGTTCCACCTTGAACTACAAATATTCTCTTCAGTTGACAAACTTTTACTTACTTTGGCCAAAGCAAGCTCACCACAATAGGGGTCAGTAGAAAAGCAGTCAAGAATGCTTACCAAAAGTCCAGCACTAAATGTTGTTAATACAGTAGAAGTATCGTATTTATGATTGGAAAAATACATTTACAGTTCAATTTAGAATTGCTCAAGATAATTTACATATGCCCTCCCTAGAGTTATATTACTGAATTGAGATGAGCAATCACATAGTTACGTTTCTTTCTTTCTTTCTTTCTTTCTTTCTTTCTTTCTTTCTTTCTTTCTTTCTTTCTTTCTTTCTTTCTTTCTTTCTTTCTTCAGGGAATTGCTTTTTTAACCACCCCATTTATATTTCAGTCTGGGACACAGTTCTTCTAAATGCATCACTTGGTTATATGCCATAAGGACTTTTTTTTTTGACAATTTATTCCATTTTGAGTTTCATGGTTCCAAATCAAATTAGGAATTTGAAGAAGAACAAGGAGGGTTTAAAAAAAAAAAAGATTCCAAAGTGAAAAAACAAAAAATGATTTTTCAGGCTTCTATCAGCTTTCTAAGATTATAGAAAGGAAGTTTTAAAAAAAGCAAAGAAATCAACTTATTAGAAGAAATGCTGATCTCTTTTACTGACACGTTATTTTAATTTCTGGGGTACATGTTCTGGAATCGGTTATCCTATCTTCTGCTTTCCTAAGATAACATTTCTGACTTCAGCTGGAAGATGGAACTAGGATGTCTACCTACCCATTGCTAAAAAATGAAATCATACCATACGGGGAAAAAAAAAAAGAATGCAAGTATATGTGCTCCATGCAGATGATATCACCCTGTATTTGCTGATTCATTGGTAGAAATGCACATTTAATTTGTCCTACTTGAAACAGAAATGCAGGATCATCCATCCTGGAGAGAAGATTGGGACTAGACGCTCAACCAGAAGACTACCCCAAAGGTGCTTTTTCAAAAGGCAACTGAACTTCATTCTCCCTTAAAGACGTTTCACTTCTCATCCCAGAAGCTTCTTCAGTTCTGACTGAACAGTGGAGAACGGAAGGATTCAGTCAGAGCTGAAGAAGCTTCTGGGATGAGAAGCGAAACGTCTTCAAGCAAAAACCAAGAAAGTTCAGTCGCCTTTTGAAAAAGCACCTTTGGGACAAACTATGATCTGGAGGACTGAGAATCTCCATAGACATCTCTCCAGAAGACTGTTATAGAGAGGCAACATCTGGTCTCCCCCCCCCTTTTTTTTTTTTTAGCTCTGTTTGGACTCAACCAGTTCCATGAAAGGGATCCGGGATGGACAGCTGGGTGGGGGAACCTTCTGAGATAGTTCTAAAGTGGAAGAGGAACCACCAGAAGAAACAATCACAAAACCTGGGAACTCTATCAAACCAATTCATTTTTTTCCCTTTATATTTTTGTTTCCTCCGACCCACCCACTACTGTGTATCTCTAACCAGACCAGGCCAATCATAGCTCCAAGGATGACCCCACAGTTGCCTAGCAACCCTCTAGCTGTTATGGGAGGTCCAAACACAAAACTCTCCCTTCCAAATTATCTGAAACTGTAAGTGACTTCACTCATGTTGTCATCGATCTCTCCGATGACGCCATGTGGCCAGTTGTAATCTTGTTGCA